TACCTGACCCTAAAACTAACCTCACAGGTACCTACCTGACCCTAAAACTAAACCTACCTGACCCTAAAACTAACCTCACAGGTACCTGACCCTAAAACTAACCTCACAGGTACCTACCTGACCCTAAAACTAAACGTACCTGACCCTAAAACTAACCTCACAGGTACCTGACCCTAAAACTAACCTCACAGGTACCTACCTGACCCTAAAACTAACCTAAACTCAATTCACACCTTGGCCCTAAACCCAACCCCCAACCCACCAATGGCATTTAAACCAAATGGGGACTCGACTTTTGTCCCCAAATGCACCATTTGTGCCCAAATGTAGGATTTTTGCCTTAAAAGTGCCCCCAAGTGTTACCAAAAACAACCCCCACCCCACCCCCACACACACGCAAGTCTATAATGTTCATTAACATCAGTATTATTGAGTGTTGTATGTACGTTTTCTTTTATTGAGGTGAGGATGTTTGTGGTTTTATGATGTGATAATTTGTTGTCATTTATCACAGAAGCAGGGTTGATTCTTTTGCTTAACTTATGTGCATTTAATCCACAAATCCCTGGGCTGTTTTTAAAGGTTATACAAACACTTTTTTTATTTAGTTAAAGCAGCTGCACAGCTGTGAGGATAAACTGAGTACGCCTGGGCACTGAGGATAAAATAAAACATTTGGGATTATAGTGGATTACAGAAAGTCTCCTCTTTCTTATTGCCAGGTCGTGGGGAGGATGGAAAGTAATTTTTTATATAAAAATTACTTTTTATTTTTTCTGATCAAAACAAAATAAAACGACTCATAACAACGGAAATAAAGGCCTAAAATTCCTTTCATGCCAGAGTTTTAAACTAAGATCATTTTTTATGATGAAAAGTGACAAAGTTATAAACACTTTGGTTGAATCGTAAATAATGTTTTGTGATCCCATGCAAGATCTCTTGAGACGGGTTAGCCTTCAAAGATGACTCTCAGTTACTACCACATCAAATTTTGGCTTTATGTTTGTAAAATTGGCAGCGCTTTTTTTTAGTGTTTCCAATGATCTGCAAGCTGCAGCGATCATATTGAACTGGACTGACTCTAAATGTTAATCACTTCACTTCCTGAGAGTTTCATTAAAGTCTGGCCTATGGTTCTTCAGATATTTTGCTAACCAAAAAAAAAAACAGAGTTGATGGTTAAGTAAAGATGTCACCCAGTGTGTTTCACTTAAAGTACGTGTGATAAATCATTCTCAGTTATTACTACACTAAACTGTAGCTGAATCTCAGTCAAACTGACTGACAAACACATCTTGTTTTTATGATCATATATCTAGTAGGCCTTTTGAATCAGATTCATTCTGAAATTTTATCAGCTGTACACGTACATCTGTAAGAACCTGCTCCATGAGACTAATACCAGCTTAATCTCATAAAAGTCATGTCCCACAAGATCTTGCAGAAGGAAATCAGGAAGTCATGAAATACCCCTCTGGTCATGAATGTGAAAAGAACTTGTGGTCTTGTCAGATTTCTCAAATAAAGTAATTTATTTTAGATATATGACC